ACCCATTACCCAATAGTGTAATTTAAGTTATTTTTTAGGTGCAAATGCAATTATGGTGGGAATTAAATAAGATGGTTGATTTTGTTTTTTGCAAAATTTGTCAGGTCTCCAACAGCATCAAGGATAAGAGCAAAGATGCTGTACGCAACATCAAAGGATGGGCTGAGAAGAGCTCTGGATGGAATAAGCTATGAAGTTCAGGCCACTGACCCAACCGAGATGGGATTCGATGTAATTCAAGACAGAGCAAAATAGATGCCCTTTTTTAAGTGGGAATCTTACTCCTAAATTATGTGCTCATCCACCTAGCTAATCAATCAATTAATCCCTCAATCTTACTCTCTTGTTTCCGATAATAATACTTAAATAACTATATCTATATATGTATATGGTCCATCCGATGACTCTGTATGACATGTGCTCTTCTTATTTCTTGTTTTTATGCCAGTTTAATCGTGTTGGTTTCGGCACCACCGTGATGTAAGTGGGGCATCTGATCTTCAATCCTTAGTCATGATAATAAGTTATGTGTAATATATGACTGTCGGGTGTATGATAAGTTAATGGCAACAAACTTTGGTTGCGATCTCTTTAATGATGAAAATTATTGAAAAGAATGGATTAGCTCAACTTTTCACACGGAAAGTTGATGCCTTACCGTGTATAACTCACGCTTTTCCATTCTACATTCTTAATACCCAACTTCTTAACCATTGCAGTTTCTCGTGGATTTCTGCAAAACCAGAAATACAAAATCAGAAACAGTGTCTGAGAACATCGAAATAAACTAAACAATGGAAGACCTTTTACATGTCAAAAGTATTTTTATACTTTTCCAAGATAAAGAGAGAGAATATAGCAAGTGCACCACCAATATTTTAGATTAAAAGTAAATCTAATGGTTAAAAAAATAATATTTTACACAGAAATAATAGTAATATATATGAACAAGTGTCTGCAATATTACTTGGACGCTAAACTATCCGCTGTCACCTTTTGTTTGTATGACAGGGATTTTCTTTTGACTTTTTCCTTTCGTCTTTATCTTTTAAACAGCCAACAAAATTGAAAAGATGTTGATCGCATGAAATTGTAGTATTTGGTTAATACTTGGGTAAATGCACCATCTTTTCTTCACAACACATTCAAAGGGCTTTTCTTGTGCAAAGGACGCCAGAAAGATTACACACAAGTTAGCTAGCCTATCAAGATGGCGATGTGCGTGATTGTCAAAGATTGAAAATTTCTCTAAGTTAAATATATATATATATATATTCCAACATTCATAGCTATCATTTTCAATACCCTAATATACATGACAAGATGCGAAAATATTCAGTACTGTGAATAACTCAGAAAGTACAACATATCGTAGTGTGTGTGATATATTATATGGAAACAGAGGTTGTGTAGTGTTTGTCGGTTAAGGTAATGCAGAGATCTAAATTTCGTAGATGGGTTGAGTTTGTCCGAATTGGGCAATGGTAGTGGGTAGACGGAGCTGGGCCGGGCCGGGCCTTACTGTTGATTCCTTGGCAGAGCATAAATCAACCTTTTGATTTCCATGTCGTTTTCGTGCTGCTGTGGACGCATTAACTTCACCATTCAACCTTATCACCAATTCGTCTTTTTCTACAACCCCACCTCAACTACTCTCCCTTTTTTTCTTTTTTTTTCTTTGCTAATTATTCTTACTCAATAATGCTATCATCACATGCCTTTTTAATCATTTGTTGAGCAATAAAACTAAATTATTACCATTTATTTATAAAAGCTGAGGAGGAGAAATGGCGATGGCTACTCGAATCAAATCAAAGCACCATTGCATGCTAAAACCAGAAAAAATGTCGATCGGATATATAGTTCTAGGTATTCACAAACATTGCTCTTACAAGCCAACTCCAAAAACCAATTTATAGCATGATATAAACAAATCTTATACGAGTTTTCTAATAGTATTACTAACCAACGTCACACATTTAAACACACTTCCCAACTATCACCAATGAATGCACACTACATATCATTCTTCATACTTATGTGGCTGTGTCTCATTCCTTGAAGCTTAAATAGCAATAAATGCACACTACACCGCACTTTAAATATTACTATATTTGAGTATCAAAATAATATTAAATAAATAATTTAATAACTTACTTTAGGTTTTATTTCAAGGGCTGACTAATGCAACCAGTTCTGCACTTTAAGAATGTTTTATCCATTTCACAAATATTAAATTTTAACTTACTTTAGGTTAAAATTTTCTGGTAAATATATTGTAGTTGTTTGCTATCATGACTTGTACAGTTAAAATAGCAGGCAGCACTTGTACAAGTTGCCTGGTTTATGATGATCACTGTTGAAATGGACCACAACCGGAAGCCTTTATCACTGGCCCAGAATGCTGCCATTCTACTATTGGGCTTCGCTCGCATTCGGTTTAGATGTCTTTCAGGGGGTTACTTCCTGCACCTAATATTTTTTTCTGCGTCCCCAAGTTCTTCAAAATGCCACTACTACCCTTTGACTTTGATTAGGTAAAAACAAAATAAGAAAAATGATGTAGGAGGATTGTTGATAACTTATTTAGAGAGGAGCAGAGGACATAACAATCTGACTGAAAGCAGATTTCAAAACAAAATAAGTGTTGACAGTTTTTGTCGATTGTATATCTTGTTAGTATCTAGAGTATTTTATTTTTCTAATAATTGTGATGTTATCATGAGTATCCCTTTAATTAAATTAGATAATGTTTATCAACTAAATACCATGTCGTGCATACTCTAATAATAAGTAGTTTGAATCGGGTATCCTATAGATACTACTACACTAAAAATTACCACAAAGTTATACACAGAGTTGATTTACCGCAGTTTTGCAAGTCTGTTTTTAATTTTTCTTTTTATTTCTTTGTTACATATTAAATTTTTTTATGCTTGAAATTATTTTAACTATTATGGTTTTATTTACCACCGTGATTGTTGAACACATTAATTTGTTTGATGTTGAAGAAAAAATCCATTTTCCTCTTTTTTTTTATTGGGTTGTGATTAAAAAACAATGGATTTTTAAATATCATATATTTATATATCCTCAATTTTTTCGGAATAGCAAAATCTTTAAAATTAATTATATTTGGATTTATATATTGAATTTATTCTACTGATAATACTCTCTATCCCATCATTTTAAAGTCAAGAATAATTATGTTAACAAACCTTTACATAATCATTAATGTTGTGTTCACTTGGGGTTGGGGTGATTGGGAAAGATGATTTGGAGAAGAATGATTGAATGGATTTGAGGAGATTTGAGGAAACCCAAGTCTACATGCGCCACCATTTTCTACTTGAGACTCGGTGACCATTAGAATGTCAGGATGAACGACAGCAGCTTAGTCTACTGGAAACCCAGCATCAATATTCCACACCAACAGTACCAAACACCCAATTCATCCAATTTTACATTCATGCAGCTTTATCCAAATCAATTTCATACACATGCATAATTATCAAACAACATATTCATACATCAAAAACCAAGTAATTAAATTATCTAGCTTCCCTTACCTCTTAACCGGACCGAAGGAAGACCTCTCACTGAAATGGCTATCCCACACGCACAATCACCGCCTACAAATCTTTGGATGGTTGAGAAAACAACATTCACCCAACCCATAACTAAGAATTAGACCCAGAAGAGTAGTTGATTGACACATGCAAGTTAGTAGTGCTCGGTCTTGAACCAAACGCTCGGTCTCAGTAGTGTTCCGTCTTGTATTAAGCACTCGGTTTCGTCATATTACCAAATTATATACTTGTATTTGATACCAATAGTATTCAGCCTAATTCAATAGTGGTCGGTCTAAGCTAGCAGTGTTCGGCCTAAGCTCTTAGGTTTAGGATTAAAAGCTTTTAGTATTCGGTCATGCCTAATTATAAGTATTCTATAGTGTTCAATTCAACTAAAAGTGTTTAGCCTGGTTATCACGTTCGGTCGCGTTGGTCATTAAGAGTTAGTCTTTCGTTCGGTCTTGTTCTTAGGAATGATGTTATCTCTTTAGGTTTTTTTCAAGGACGGGATCATATTTTATTGTTCGGTTTGATTGTATTGATGATTAAGTATGATGGTATTTAAAATGTGATATGAATGGAAATGTATGGATATGAAAGAGTATTACAAGGAGGAATATCTCATGGTTGGATATTGGAATGGTAGAGTATGAATGTGGTTATGCTTAGCTAGCGTTTATCCTGATATTCTATGATTACTCATTCTCAAGTAGAGAGGAGTAAGTCATGTGTGAGAATGGCAGGAGGTCCTAGTCCATAAGGTGAACTTGGGCGGAACGGACTAACCTCGGGTGGCAGCTGTTGAGGGCATCTCGGCTACTACATCACCCGGGTGCACAAACGTCGCAGCTACACAAAATTCATACATTCCGGACAGTCAAAGTAAGGTGGTAGGTCATTGCATGTATTGTTGTATGGTTATGATTGGTTGTTGCATGATTGACCTTTTGATTTATGTCAGATTTATGTGAATTATATGTTTTACTGAATTAATTAAATTACATAAGCTTACCCTACTTTCCTGTCTTGACATGTTGTCCGTCCGGTTATTCTTCCTGTTGTAATGATCATCCTGTGGATGTGAGCAGGGGGGGACAAGTGTTTGCTGGAAGAGGGTTTGGAAGAAGTGGAAGTTAAAGATGAACCTTAAGACCGTTCGGTCGTTAGAACTAGTTTTATTTTGTATAACCGTTCGGTGTAAGCATAGTTTTGGAACCGTTCGGTCTAGTCCTTCATTTATTAAAGTTTAAATTCTGGAGTATTATTGTAAGGTCGTTCGGCCATAAACGTACCACCTTTTCTTTCAGAACTGAACTGTAATATTGTTAATTGTGAGTATTCTATGATATGATTTTATACTGTATTTTTGGGATACATATGTCATAGCGCTTATATTTTGTGTTTGTGTATTTTGTACAAGGAAATTAAAATTAATTTTTAAAAAGTAATCATACAATGCCTCTAGAAGCTCCAGTCACCACTACAACTGGCGCTTCCACTTTCTGAGTTGCTCCACTTCCCGCTTCCTTCAGAGTAGCAACCTGCGCTCTCACACCTGCACATACGCGTATCAAATAATCACCAAAACTGAACACGCGGACATAGTAACGATTGTAAAGCAAAACGCAAAGAAAAAAACAAATCGGTACCAGAGTATCTAAACGGAGCATTCGATTGGTGACGAAGACCGGAAACGGAACGGTGATTCGTGAGAACCGGAGACCATTGCCGGATCTGACAGACTTTCCGGTTACCAGAGGCGGCAAAGTTGGCGGTTCGAAGAGCGACACAATTGGATCCGGCAATAGAAGCCATGAGTGTTCTTAAAATGCAACGAGTATTTTAAGTACCTGTATTCATCTGGGAATTATTTCCAGGTCAGGGACATTTAAGAGAATGTGTATTTCATCCGTCCAAATCTCTTTACAACTGCGGGTGAGTGAACAGTAAATGAATCACACGTTTCGTTTCAATTTCATCCACGCATTTCACTTCAAGTGAACACGTAAAAATTGAAAATCATTGCTCGCCAATGACAATAAAGAGTGTAATCAACACAAATGAACACACGCTAAAGAAATAAATAAATAAATAAATAAATATATATATATATATATATATATATATATATATATATATATATAGTGTTTTTAACTAAAGCCTTGCGAATAATTTTAAGCTTAGTTAAATAAGATATAAATAAAGATTATTTTCACTTAATAAATTAATTTTACAATGATATAATCAATTTTAAACTCATCTTTCAATCAATTTGCAGGAATAATTTATGTTTAATAATAGCTTATCACCTGCCTTGACTTGCCTGACTTATATAACTCAAACTTCGGTAGCATGTCTATAAATGACCGTTTGAAAGTTTAGATGTGTCTTATTTTTTATTCGTAAGTGTAACTAATTTATTGATTTAATCTTAATGGAAAAAATTAAATATAATTGTGTGTGGGGACATATATTCCGTTGAAGCGTGTTGCTTTGTTATCCATGGTGTGATTCCGTAGTGGATGGATATAGATTGATTTCGAAGTGCATCAATGGCATATATTCCGAGTTGACTCAACATCTAAACTCGTCGTCAATGGGAATTAACCACCTTCTGACAAAAACCACTTTCCAGCTCAAACCAAAATAAAGAAAGGCAAAGAAAAAGAATAAGACATGTGTCGGATCAGACCACTCTTGGGGCCGTCAATCACTCAAATCATCACATGTCCTCCCACGCACAAATCTTTCTCCAACGCAATCTCCACCCTTCATCTTTCTCCACCATGGCCCACCCAATCATCTTACACCGTCCGATTCAGCGTCGTGGGACACTGTCTTACTATGTCCCTTGCCTAGTTAAACAGGGGACATACATAAACGTTGTGCAATAAAATAAAGTTTAAATCACCTATTGCTTCCCACGCGACTCTCAAGCGCGTAGACTAACTTTCTTTCCCTGCACTGCTCTAAGCAGTTCTGCAAATCGAAAGCATGCGTGCAAGGTGCTTACTCTGTACATGCTTGTTTCCTAGCTAACAAAAACAAAATAATTTCACATTTCATTTCATTTACAGTATTCATTAGAAATAAATAATAAGCAATGATGGTAGAAATATTGCATTTTGGCTTCGCTTAAATTGGCATTAACTATGATTATCTTCTGATCATTTCTTTTTTTTTCTTTTTCACTTGCTTTAACTTTTTTTTCTGACTATCTTTTACTCTATACATTATAATAATTTATAGTGAATATATATAATAAAGTATCAAATAAACAGTGCCAATTTTTTGTCGGTTGATGGAAAAATAATATTAAAAAAACATTTCTGTCGGTAGTATTGTTCCTATGGAATTTTTTTTGGGGGTTAAAGTCCCTACCAGTTTCCTGTATTGCAAGTAACTGTTGTATATGATTTGTCACCACTTAAGTTATTTTTACTTTCTTACATAAATTTATGTTAAAATTTGAAGATAAGGAAAACGCTTTTAAGTAACTGATTTGGTTATAGGATTAAGGTTATTCGTCTACTAAGTTTTTTCTTTTAATGTTTGTTTGGCTTTTGATTCTTTTAAATTATTCAATACACTTAAGTCATACGCAAAAGATATTTTGATGTATATTAACAAGTAAATTTAAAAATCCCACGATGAGATTGTATGATAAGATTTATTTATATATTACAATTTCACTTTATTTTTAATTGACGTGGACCTTTCAACCGTCTAATAATATAATTAATGTGTAATCCAATAATGGACTGACAATAAATAAAATAAAATGTCCATATAAATCTCGTTAGGAAAAAGCTAAATTTAACATATTGAGTAATTAATATATAATAAATATAATCACTTATTTTTTATTTTAAATTTGTATTTATAAATTTTGAAATGAATTTTAAATGATTATTAACTCAATTGATATTAATCATATTTTTGTAAATTAATCTTCACCAAAACTAATTTTTGTTTAAAAATATCATTCAATTTGAATAATACAGCCGATCTCTTTAATGATCGTCGTGATGTTTTTCAATGTATAAATTGTTCAATACTAAATTAACCGGATGAATATATTGTACAATAACAATAAAAAGTATATAATAATCGGTTAGATTAAATTTTAATGTGTAAATGTACAATAGTTATTATTTCAGGGAATGCTTTAGTTTAAAATAGTACAAAGAACAGGTGTTTAGAATTCCACGACGAACCTTACACTTCCATGAATGGATAAAATATTTATTGGTGAGTCTCCCAATTGGCATGCATGCATGGAAATAAGTGCATGAATACTCTTAAATGCCGTGGGAAGGTAATTCATGACACTTATGTGATGCTACTGTTATTTTTATTTTACTCTAACTTCAAAAGTACATTTTTACATTTTCAATTTATTGTTTTTTACACTATATATTGAGACATATAAATAGTTTTTCGTTTTAATATCTGTCGTCACTTTTATCATTTCTCTAAAAATATAAACTTCTAATATTGATATTTAGTTTTGTTATTCTAACTCCACAAATTACCATCACGTAAATACAAAAGATTACGTTGAAAATTAAAATAAAACAAATCAATTTAATAAGACACTAGACAGAAACAAACAAACAATAAATTTAAAAGTCCAGAACAAAAATAATAATGTATTAAATAGTTAGATTTCTCTGAGAGTTTGGTGTGTATAATTGATATTGTTTTGTCATACCTTCAATGATATATTTACACATATTTACCATATACAAATAAGTGGAAGGGCATACTGGTGCAAATTTTGACTTAATGTTAATTATCTACAATTTTTTTTATTAAAATTCGTGAAAATAAATTTTAACTGCATTTTCTCGGTGAACAGTTATTATAATTTTGAATATTTGAATACATTAAAAAATTAAATTCAATATGAAGAGAACAATAATCATGTTTTAATTATATTGTGCTGTATATAATAAATGCAGCTTAGAGAAGAATTAAAAAGGTACAATAATTTCGTTGGTGAGGTCCAAGCGGTGTTAGTAAGATTACGAAAGATATACATGTGACATTTTAATGTATAATATATACTTTTGTTGTCACTTTCTAAGATGTTTTTTCAACATGAAGAAAGAAAGAAGAAGAATTGGGGGTGATTGAATGAGACTGATGGAATGGGCCATGGTCTTAGGTGTCATGGGTGTCCAAGTTTCCTTTCATATCATTTATTTATTTATTTATCATTTAATCCTAAAATGTTGAAACTTACATTTTTCATATTATTGCTACACATATAATTAGATTTTTATTTCAAGTGTAGTTAATATTAATTTTGATCTGATATTAATTTATATAATGAAAATTTAATATTTTTACATTTTTATTACTTTTTAAACACGTATGGAGTCTAACTTCTTTTTTATTAGATACGGTCTATTTAATACTCAAATTTGATTTAATTATAAAAATGTAATGAAATGTTTTTATTATTATTCAACAACATTTTTTTTATGAAAAAAAAATGTCTATTCTTATGATAATTATTTGACTGGACCGTTGCACGAAATGAATGTGACAAATTTAATCTAAGTTTTGAAGTTTATCATATCACGTTTAATGGCATATTAAAAAGAAAAAAAAAATCCTTTGTTGATATATATATATATATATATATATATATATATATATATATATATATATATATGTATGTATTATGTTTATTTTATAAACCATAATAATTATTGTTTTTGTGACAATAATATAAATGAAAAATGTTTAATTCAATCCATTTAATTTAAATTGTAATGAATTTAATTTAATTTATTTCACTTATTATATAATGTATTTTATTTCTATCTAAATTATTTTTAAAGTTTAATTTAATTATATATAATAATTCAGGTAATTTGTTGTCACTTTTATAAACAATAAAAAAAAACTCTTTACACAGTAGTAATATAAATAGGATTTATAAAATTGTGTTTTATATGACCAGATTCATGAACAGGGGGTAATAATTTTTATGCAATTAAGAATCATCGTATTTATTAGTGTCAAATCCAGATAAGAGCTTTAATATTGATGTCGTTTGTAATTTTCAATTCATCCTAATTACTTTTGAGTCTTTGTAGTAAAAGAGTTACAATTATATTAAAGTGAAGTCCTTCTCATGCCAGCAGTTAAATCCAAAATTGGAAATAGAAGGGTACATGGTGTTTGGTTTTTCTCAATTAAAGGAAGAATTAACTTTTTTTATGTGTTAAATAACAAAATGCATCTATTTTTTTTTAAATGTTATTTATATATATAATATATATTTAAATTATGCGATCTAAAATATTTGCTGGGATATTGAGCTGACTCATCCGATCTGACTAGGTAGCAAGGATTAGTTACTAATTTAGAATTAAGTAAGGGAAATGAATTATTAGAAAGAATTATATTATTTAAAAACTTCCATGTTTTTGGGTTTTATGTTTTAATAAAAAAAGGAAAAAGAAAAAAGTGTTGCTGAGTGTTGAGTGTCCCAGAGAGTGGATGTTATAACACTGGCCTCTCACTCGCGAGTTTGTTATCAGTAGTGACTGAGTTCTCACTTCCGAGTGTCTGAAATGGGCAAGCCAGTTTTGAAATCGAGTCTTCCCCAGTTAGCTTTCTCCGTCCTTTTCTTGTTCATTTTCTTTTCCTCTGTTTGCTCCGATGAAGCTTCCAAAACCTTCATCTTCCGTGTCGACTCGCAGTCCAAGCCATCGGTGTTTCCCACTCACTACCACTGGTATACCTCCGAGTTCACCCAACAAACTCACATCCTCCACGTATACAACACCGTTTTCCACGGCTTCTCCGCCTTTCTCACGCCCCAACAGGTAGCCTCCATAAGCAACCACCCTTCCGTCCTCGCTGTCTTCGAAGACCGTCGCCGCCAGCTCCACACCACACGCTCCCCGCAGTTCCTCGGCCTCCGCAACCAGCGAGGCCTCTGGTCCGAATCCGACTATGGCTCTGATGTCATCATCGGAGTCTTTGATACCGGCGTCTGGCCTGAGCACCGCAGCTTTTCTGATTTGAACCTCGGCCCAATTCCCCGTCGCTGGAAAGGCGCGTGCGAAACCGGCGCCAGGTTCTCTCCCAAAAACTGCAACCGTAAGCTCATCGGTGCCAGATTCTTCTCCAAGGGTCACGAAGCTGGCGCGGCTTCCGGTCCTCTCAATCCGATCAACGACACCGTTGAATTTCGTTCCCCTCGCGACGCGGATGGCCATGGCACGCACACCGCTTCCACCGCTGCGGGCCGCTACGCCTTCCAAGCTAACATGTCCGGGTACGCTTCGGGAATCGCGAAGGGAGTGGCCCCGAAAGCGCGATTGGCGGTCTACAAAGTTTGCTGGAAAAACTCTGGCTGCTTCGATTCTGACATCCTCGCTGCATTCGACATCGCTGTCAGCGACGGCGTCGATGTCATTTCGATATCCATTGGCGGTGGTGACGGTATTGCCTCCCCTTATTACCTCGATCCTATCGCAATTGGGTCCTACGGTGCGGTTTCTAGAGGAGTGTTCGTGTCTTCTTCCGCCGGCAACGATGGGCCAAGCGGAATGACAGTGACCAACCTCGCTCCGTGGTTAACAACAGTGGGAGCGGGCACCATTGATCGTGACTTCCCGGCACAGGTGTTTTTAGGCGACGGGAGGAAGCTCTCGGGCGTGTCGCTCTACGCCGGAGCGGCGTTGAGTGGGAAAATGTATCAACTGGTTTACCCTGGGAAATCAGGGATTCTTGGGGATTCCCTCTGCATGGAGAATTCCTTGGATCCGAACCTGGTGAAGGGTAAGATAGTAGTATGCGACAGAGGAAGTAGCCCGAGGGTTGCGAAAGGGTTGGTGGTGAAGAAAGCCGGCGGCGTGGGAATGATTCTGGCGAACGGAATCTCCAACGGCGAAGGACTGGTGGGAGATGCTCATCTTCTTCCTGCATGTGCTGTTGGCGCCAACGAAGGAGATGCAATCAAGAAATACATCTCAACTTCCGCAAACCCAACGGCCACGCTTGATTTCAAAGGCACCATTCTTGGAATCAAACCGGCACCGGTCATTGCTTCTTTCTCGGCGAGAGGACCCAACGGTTTGAACCCTCAACTACTTAAACCCGATTTGATTGCTCCCGGTGTCAACATCATAGCGGCATGGACCGACGCTGTCGGCCCGACCGGTTTGGATTCGGATACGAGGAGAACGGAGTTCAACATCTTGTCTGGCACTTCCATGGCTTGCCCTCACGTGAGTGGCGCAGCAGCTTTGCTCAAATCCGCGCACCCTGATTGGAGCCCCGCCGCCATTAGGTCCGCCATGATGACCACCGCCACCGTCTTCGATAACCGCAACCGGATCATGACCGACGAAGCCACCGGGAACAGTTCCACTCCTTATGATTTCGGCGCTGGTCATCTTAACCTTGGACGAGCCTTGGATCCTGGGTTGGTCTATGACATCACCAACAATGATTATGTTAACTTCCTTTGTGGTATTGGTTACGGACCCAAGGTTATTCAGGTGATTACTCGCACACCGGCGAGTTGTCCGGTGAGAAAGCCGTCACCGGAGAATCTGAACTACCCTTCCTTTGTTGCCATGTTTCCGGTTTCGTCCAAGGGAGTGGCGTCCAAGACGTTCATTCGGACCGTGACCAACGTGGGGTCCGCGAACGCCGTTTATCGCGTGAGCGTGGAGGCCCCGGCGAGTGGTGTGACCGTGACGGTGAAGCCATCGCGGCTGGTGTTCTCGGAGGCGGTGAAGAAGCGGAGCTATGTGGTGACAGTGGCAGGGGATACCCGGAATCTAAAGATGGGTCAATCTGGGGCTGTTTTCGGGTCGCTGACGTGGACGGATGGGAAGCACGTGGTTCGGAGCCCCATTGTCGTTACTCAAATAGATCCGTTATAAACTTTGATCATGTGGTTTTGATCGATGCGGCGCGTGAGTAGTGATGGAAGTGAGTGGCACCTCTCTAAGTTGCCACAGCTAATATAAGACAATAGTCAAATACTTTGTATTTCTTTTTCTTTTTTAATTATTAATTTAGGATGTGTTTGGTTGAAGTGACAAGCAGAAGTTGTAAACTTTTGTCGTACTTTTTTATAGTAAGTTTTTTTATTTTGGATTCAATTAAACTTCACCCTGTATTTTTAGACTTCAGGAGTCTATCTTTTATACTTTATAAAATTATAGGATGAATTATAATTTGTTTTATACTCTTTATGTTAAATTATTTTATTTCAATATAAATAACTACGAGTTATTTATAATTGTAATTTTGTTTTTCTATAAATTAGTTATTATTATTATTATACCAACCTTAAAATGTGAGGTTTCTGCTGCCAATTTACACTACATTAAACAGTGCATTAATTAAGGAGGGGAATCTCCTGGTTTCTTTGACTAATATGGAGGACTTCTATCATCTTCACTCTCGTATCTGTTTTCTATTATTCCATCTGCATGTTAGCTTTATTTGGTGTCAATCTTAATTTTAGGAATTAAGAACCATATCCTGAAAGGGAATAAAAAATCATCTAATTCTTGTATTTCTTTTATTACTGATGCTTATTTGGATATATATTATTTTCATTTCTTTTTTCAAAACCATAACATTGAAATAAATGATAATGAATGGATGGACAGAATCTTGACTAAATATAAATTATTTGAAATACTTAATTACTGTAATCTTAATATAATAAACATCTTATTGGAATTTAATTACTATTAAATCATAAAAATACTCTCCTGCTCGAATTTAACCACATCATTCTAAAAATATCTCAAACCCAGTCATTAATATTAAAAAAAAAAGTTACACTATTAAAAGCTAAAAGGCTATCCATAACATTGCCACATAAATTGTATTGTGTTAAAAATCTGATATTGAATAAGATAATTACTTTTATAGTAGAATGATTTTCACTTAAAAGATAATATGCAAATCTTTGTACTGGTAGAATATGACAATTGAACTCTTGATTATTGAATTAGTTTCATATATAATCTTATAAAAGAAAGCGAGCAGATAGACAAGAGTATCAATAGCCTCACCATACAGTATTCTTTTAAGGACATTTATAACTTTATTATTGTAAAGTTCGTTTGTTATACAAAAAATATTTAATGTGTATGGAATGGAAATACATAAAATAGCGTCAAAGTATTAAAATAAGCACAAAAATTGATGCCATAAGATGAAAAGAAGAAAAAACTGCGACGCAAAGTGTTGGGAAAGACCAAAAAAAAAAACAGCTACATGTGGTAGTAGTCAAAGTTGCATTTAATATCCTTGATTGAAGTTATGCATGTGAAAGAAAAAAACGCAATAACATCTTTTAAAATCAAAATAAAAGTAAAGATGTTATCGAAATAAATTCGAAGTAACTAGATACTAAACCTTATATAACAACATTATTTTATGCTTTAAGATATACTATTTCAGAATTTTACATAGAAATAGGTGTAATATACAGATAAAAGAAATGCAAAAAATATATATATTTTATTTTGAAATAAGTTTATGCCCGAAATGAGGGGATGGAGTACCTTATGTGTTAAGGGACAATGGATTGATTAAAGAGCCATTGCCTTTTGACCAACAACCTTTATTCCTTACCTACGCACCAATATTTAGCATAAATTAGTCAAATTCGTCTTCTTTGAATTGGAATTCAATCTCATTAAAATTTTGTTCTTAAAACTAATCATGGCTATTAAAAGAGGAGGTTGACTTTAATTCTTAAATTATGTAAGATTTGTAGATGTATTAAAACAAGTCTTCTATTGGTGGGTGAATGATGAGTAGATGTGATTTAAAATCTTTATTTTTATCATTATCTTATTTATTGCGTATTAATCGATTTTATTTTAAGATGAACCTTCAATGTGAATAGCACTCGTTACGTAATTAAGAGAGATAGATGAGTAAACAAATTATCAATAAAAAATATAAATTCTAATAAATTATAGAATTATGAAATTTATATAATTTATATTTAAAGTAATATTAAGTAGAAAAGTACAATGTATCTTTATTCATTTTTTTCTTTTATTGTCGCTAATTAGAGTGAGACAAGAGTGTTTCTTTCTGTATTTCTTCACATTTCTCCTTACATTTCCATATTTTAAAAATACTTTTTCTCAATCAATTTTGAAATTCATTAAAATTTTCGAAAAATTCTTCAACCGATTTTAAAATTTATTGAATTTTTTTTTTCTTCAATAAATTTTAAAATTTGTTGAAGAAAAAAAGTGAGATATAGGATTTTTTGAAATATAAGAAATAATTTTGAAAAAAATGTGGGAGTGTAGAAAGAAATACGGAGTAGTGTAGGGAAAACACTCTTGAGCCAATTGGGCCATGGAACGTCACAGGTCCAGTTAAAGGGATTGGCCCGTATGGAATCTGGATTGTTCGCAGTTCATTCTTGATTTCTTAAACAGAAAGTAAGTATAATTGCTTGACACCGCGGTTGTTACACGTAATTCCCACAACCACGTCACGTGTTTCCTTTTCCGTGGCATGTCGGTTTTGTTTATGTTTTTTAATGTTCGACTTCATCTTAATCTATCCAACGAAGTAACGGTAGGTATATATATCATATTTGTCTTCCATCCTCCATAGTTCTTCTTCACTTACAAGCCATGTCTCAACAAAATTCATTCTACCCACAAGTTGATTTGACAAATCCAGAAGCTGCTTCTCCCTTTTCCCACCATTCATCGTCATCTTCTTCTTCCATTTATCCTACAGTAGAAACAACAGAAAATCTCATTGCGGAAGAGCCGAACGCGACACAAGCCATGGAAAACGTTCTCGTCACGGTTCCGGGTGCGATTCTGCATCTCATAGAAAAGGATTCAAGCGTGCACCTCGCTTCAGGGGATCTCACCATATCCAGCCTCGGAGAAGGGGACAAAGTGGTGGCTGTTCTCGCTCGCGTCGGAGACAAGGTTCAGTGGCCGTTGGCCAAGGACGTGGCGGCGGTGAAGCTGGACCAGTCGCACTACTTCTTCACGCTGCAAGTTCCACAGAAACAGGCGGAGAACGGATTTGAGGTGTTGAATTATGGGTTGACGGTGGCGGCGAAGGGGCAAGAGAGGGTGCTGAAGGAACTGGACGGGGTTCTGGAGAAGTATAGCTTTCTGTCGAAGGAGAAAGTGAAGGGTGTGAGTGGATGGGAGGTGTTGGATGGTTCCGTGTCGACAGAGACATCACCCGAAGAATTAAAATCAGAGGAGAAGAGGGAAGTGATCGAGGAGCGTTCTGGTGCTTATTGGACAACGTTGGCACCAAACGTGGAGGATTACAGTGGGAGTTTTGCGAGGTGGATTGCTGCGGGGTCGGGGCATGTTATTAGGGGGATTTTGTGGGCTGGGGATGTTACTGTGGAGAGGTTGAAGTGGGGGAATGATTTCATGAAGAAGAGATTGGAGCCTGGTTCCCACTCCCAGATGAGTCCTCAGGCATTGGAGAATATGAAAAGGGTCAAGAAGTTGACCAAGATGTCAGAGAAAGTAGCCACTGGTGTCCTCTCTGGGGTTGTCAAGGTGTCTGGATTCTTCACAAGCTCTGTAGTCAACTCCAAACCTGGAAAGAAGTTCTTCAGTCTTCTTCCTGGAGAAATCGTCCTTGCTACCATGGATGGATTCAGTAAGTTATATTAATTTATCATAGCTGTTTTGGGGGTTTAGTATAGTCTTTTTGATTCTGTGTCAATGGAAGGAAGGATTTTTTTTTATTTATATATTTTTTTGGCTGTGTGATGTGCAGATAAGGTGCTGGATGCTGTAGAAGTAGCTGGGAGGAATGTTATGTCCACTTCGTCATCCGTGACCACCGAACTCGTTTCACATAAGTAAGTTCATTTCTTCAAAAGTTTTCTTATCATTGCCAACATACTTGCCTGGCTTATTGAGATTAAGACCTTTGCATGAAATCTTACCTTTTTTTTATCAAACCAATGGTTTGTTTAACGATTGACATGGTTTTTTTTTCTTTCCATTGCCTTTTTGGTTGTGTTAGGTATGGAGAGCAAGCGGCCCAGGTTGCTAATGAAGGTCTTGACGCCGCAGGGCATGCAATTGGGACAGCTTGGGCAGTGTTCAAACTTAGGAAGGCACTCAACCCTAAGAGTGTGATCAAGCCAACAACACTGGCCAAAGCTGCTGCTGAAGCAAATTCTGCCAAACTCAAGGCTAAGAAATGAGTTATGTTATGACAGCAAAAGAATTAGGACACCCTTTATATAGAGTAGTTTGTCTGTTTGTTCATGGATTTTTTATTTTAATCAATCTTGATAGTGGTTAGTATTTATGGTTTTAATGTAGATGTTCGGGAAAAGGAACTTTGTTTGTTCCTCTCTTTTTTCCATGCAGGGTTGTGTTTTTTTATTTATAGAAGTCCAACTGGTTACGCACCAAATTTGCGATAATGAATTCCATTTATTCTTTTCCCTTGAGTAGAGAAATGTAACATAGCTGAAGAAATAAATGGCACTAGCGACTGTGAAGAAGATAATATGACTAAAGAAATAAAAGGTTCAAAGGCTTCTTATTCCTTTTGACTTCAAAGTAACACTTACACAGACGTATATATAACTCCAAATCTGAGGCATGTTATGTCCAAAGTCCAATTATATAATTTTCGTTCTGAAATCAAGCTGCTCCAACAGCAGCAGACATGGAGCGTATTTACTTTAACTGCACAAACTAACTTTTGACTAGTCATCTGCTTAAACACTGGTATTTGTGAAGAACTGGTTTTCACTTAATAGCTAGTTCTAAATGGCTTGTAAGTCTTGAGGTCCAAAACCACCCCGGCCATGGAACCAATGGCAGATACTAATGAAATCATGAGGCAACTAACGCTAAGTAGCTGAAGTCCTATCCATCGACTTGTCCACCGTTCAATCTTCTTTTGCGAAATATACATGTCGATAGGGAAGTAAACTGTTAATGGCCAGAACCCAAAAGCTCCAAGCATTCCAACCACGTCATTGAAAAAGGGCATGAGCATGGCTACGAGGGTCGTCAACAACACAAAAATGCTTCTCCATACTAAGCGGAAGAAGTTGAGTTGGTACACCCCATAGAAGGGAACCGCTATGTCATATTCTGCCGTCACAAAACAACTCTTTGGCCATTTACGTGCACTCCATTTCTCCACAAATGCAAATAAGGGCTGGGAAAAAACCTGGAATAATATATACAGTTCAGAAAGAGGTTTGAAGCTCTGTTCAATTTTCTCAAGTATCTACAATTCACAACAGATAATACCTGGTATGCCCCAACTAGGTGCACAACAATTGCAATGTTGGCAATGTCCAGAAGCCAATAAGGGTCATAAAACCCAAAACCAGTTAAGAGATTTCCAGGTGCATTGTCTCCGAAAGCTGCATACCCCATGCATCCACAGAGTAAATAGAACACTGTGGTAACTGCGATGCTCAACGCTGTGGCTTTTCTCATGGTCTTGTGCTCTGCAGGAGGAGATTTTATGGTGTCCTTCATCAAAGCCAGATGCTTTCTTAATTTCTCATGTAGTATTGTTAATTATGTGCAGAATACGTATGATCGACATAGGCCATATCTGAGTTACCTGAATTTCGATCAGGATAATGGAAAAAGAGTATGCAAAGGCCATTGCTCCCAGAGCTTGTAAACTTCTCCATATTTTCTGCGTGCCAGTTACTGTTCCAGCTTGTGTCACTGTGCCAATGCTAATTCCCAGCATGCTTCCTTTAAAAGTTTTGTTTTCTACAACATGAAAAACAAACTTAGAAGTTGCACAGACCAGGAAACAATGGTTCCACGCTGACATAAAAGATAAATCTGCTTGCACCTGCCACTTTCGCCACGCCAAGACTCAATCCAACTGAAGAATACGTGAAGGACATAATGGCCGCGACTATGGATAGCCACCACACCTGATCAAAGTCTGGGATTTGGGAAAAAATCACTTCTGCTATTCCAAATGTTATCATATACCCATTGCTTGACATGTGACAGGGATCTTTTCCATGACTGTTATGGTAGCAATTCGACCTTTTTATGGCCCTGAGTTAATCAAAAAAAGGTCAACTTTTAAGGGGAGGGAAACATCACTAGTTTAATCAAGTTCATAGTTTACTTATAGAGAAAGAGAGAATATATAACTAAAGTCACTAATGTTTGAATTGAACTCACATCATACTGACAGAGGCAGCAATGGTATACCCTATTGCAATTCCAAACAGATTGACATATTGAATCAGGCCACATAACTTGACCTTTTTTCCTCCTGAAACCCAAACAAAGTGGTATGGTATGATAGTTCCATTAGCAACACATTGGTTTCTTTTGGTTACATAGATATATAGTAATGGAATGTTCTTAATCCTCTTACCCAAGATGGACTTTACTGCCTCCATGTAGGTGTAATTTCTCTGTCCAGTAACAGAGTCACCCGTCCTATAACACTGTGTTAGTAGGGTGGAAGTGTAGAGATTGACCAAAGCAAAGAGAAGCATGACAACAGGTCCAGCAACCCAACCAAGCTGAGCTACTGCCCATGCAAGAGAAAGAACTCCAGACCCTATCACAGCAGTGATGATATGAGCAGTTGCCGTCCAAAATGTTCCTGCAATCACAGGCACAACATTCTTTCTCACTTCCACATACTGCTTCCTCCAGGATTGCCTATTGCTACTGTTTTACGTAGTTTCGCTTAAGAGACAAGACAAGTTTTACTTCCCAACAACCATTTTCGGAAGGTTAATACAGAATTCATTTAAATATAAATGTATATACTAAAAATTAACAGTATAGTTAATGAATAGGGACATATATAAAATATGGTCGAAAACTGTAGAACTACAACAGCATATAGATTTTATATCAAGTTAAAGTATGGTGAACCTGTTCTCTTCAAACGACCATCATCATCTAAGCATTTGGAATAGTTAGGCTGAATATTCATAGCAACAGTCTCCGTTTGAGTATTTTGTAAGTAGTGCTTCACATCTTGCCTCTCTTCTATCTGTATTAAACAGTGAGCATCAATCAACGACTGAACGTAAATAATAGTAAATGAATACATATACAAAAGAAGGAGAGTGCATAGTTCCTACAATTCCTTGGTGCATTCTGCTGGGAAGAGTTCTACTTCTTTGCAACATGGGTGTGAGCTAAATGCAGGTAACAGTGAGAGTAGGAGTGAGGTATTGAAAAGTAAGAAGCAAGGTGAATGAAAGGGAAGGGATGTTTCTAAATGATGAAACTGAATGGGGTTTTATAGGAAAAGACTGTGCCTACATACAGTCAACTATCGTACTACACGTTTCCATTGATAGTTATGGTATAACATTTTCATGAAAGTTATGGTATTGGGCAGGCTCAATTTCAGCTTGCAATCAATGCCTCTTATGACGAGATAGCAAACTGCCACTATACAAATTAATAATATATATACTTATATAGGTGCTGCTTATATGTAGCTTTCTTTTGCTATTGGTTTCAAGCAATTGAACATTTTGATATTTTTTGGTAGATTGATGGCTGTTTTCTTCATCCTAACACTGCTAATCGCTTTATACAACAAGTAGGTCCATATTCATGATGACGATTGCTTTCGACTTTCTGATATCACCAAGATAACGTATCCATTTCACAACGACAAAGCTTTCGGCAAACTATGTTATCATTTCTTCTTATAAGCTGCCTCGACAAACTATAGTAGAACCCAGTTCTACCTCCTCTTACTATCATTAGAACACGTACGACTTAAAGCTCAAGAACATATTTTTTTATCATTTTAACAGAAACTTTAAGAGTAATGATATCGTGCATTGTACTGCCAGAAATGTCGAATAGAAAAAACAAGGATAAAACCGAAGGGGGTATGGAAGAAACAGTATTTTCTGAACTTTGTTAGTGTCTTGTAAATTTTAGTGCATGTACGACCATATGGTCGGAGGAAGAAAAGTTTGAATTACGAGTGTACCACCAGAAGAAGGTGGTCAATGTGATTATTTTTCAAATATTACATTTCTAAAGCAATAATTTTAAAGTAAACCTGAAATATTCAACAGGCCCTCCTCTTATCATCTAACCCATTTTACGTATGAATTAAAATTTACAAAACCTACTTATAAAATAATATTTATCTTCACTTATATATATTATAATATTTATCTTTACTTATTTATTTATTTATTTATATATATATATATATATATATATATATAAATAAAGTGTAAGACTAAATATTAATAAATGATTATAAGATAGAACAATATATCTAATAAATTTGTTATGATAGATTCTAACTCATGACTATGATATTAGTGGATTTTAAATTTAATTCAATTTTATAAAATTGTCTTATATAAAAATGAGTTTTGTACTCGTTTATATATTTTAAATTGATTTTTGTTTCTTGTATAAGGTGGAGGATCTCCGCAAAATGTTCTTTCACACTTTTCATTTGGTTAGCTTAGGTTATTCTCCATGCACTTAGTTAAAATTCTTTCTTGTTCATGTTATAAACCGTTCGTGTGTATCTGTCAAAAACACTCTAATGCTTAAGTTAGTAATCAATCCGATTGGGGTCACAATAAATTTTTTAAATTCGTAATTTATCTATTTTCTTACATTTGATTTATAAGTTTTGAGATAGGTTTTTGATTAGTGCAATCCTAATCACTACCCATTTTTTTCACTAAGTAATTCTTACTAGTAATTTTGATTAGAAGCAATCTTTATAAGTTCTTACTGTTGAGAGACATCTGACCTTTCGGTGTTTTATCCCCGTGATCGTGCGATCAGCTAATAAATAGTGTTTATTAATAATCTTAATTAAATGATGTTTAATAATGTTAATCGCAATTTATTTTAACTGGTCGTCCTTTGTCGTAGTCTTATCCAATCGATTATTCTATATGTCGGTATGATCATACGGTACAACTTTATTTATAATAGATGAGGTTGGGTCTAAATTTATACTAGGCAAGCCATGAAGATGTTGGTGGAGGGAGAGATAGATAAAGAGGGAAGCACAATGGTGAGACGTTGGAGGAAATGGTAATAAATGATTGGTTTGATGAAAATATGGGCCTCTAGTAAACTAAATGTTGTTGACCATCATCTCTACTACTCGAGTGTGCTCTGATTAACTCCAAAACGTAATGCGGTTGTTGGATCATACCGTGTTTGTGGGCTTACCACTCAAGTCCATTCATTGCCCACACCCAAAAAATCCATTACTATCATATCATCCACAACATTTTTTTTTCTGCTCTCAAGCACATGGAATAAACTAAAAATTAACTTTCATCTTGAACAATTAATTTACTTCTGTTATTGTTATAAATATATTGACAACGTAAAAAGTACTGTTATGTGATCATAACTTGTAATATATAATAAATTTCTTAGAGTTTTATAATCACTTTTTTCAAAAAGTTTCATGGTGTATAAGTGTTTCCTTTGCAAAATTTTCGTTATAAATAAGCTCTTGAATTTTAGTCTCTTTCTGATGAAACATTTAATTTTAGCGTATCTAATAGATATATTAATTAGTAAATAAGTAATACTTGGAGCTCTTTTTTAACGCAGTTTGAACAATCATAACAAGGGATTAAAAGTCATTAGTTTATTTATAATAAGAAACTTATAAAAGAAGCACTTTAGAAACATCAAAGAATAAAACAATAGTTCAAGCATCGAAATGCTTTTAGCAGAAACGAAAGGTTTCTATGAGCGAAGGATCAAGCCACGCTATACAAAAATTATTATAAAGTAATGAAAATTTAATTACCTTCTTAAGCATTAGCAATGCCTTCTATGATTGAAACTATCGTTTTATTAATTAATTGTGATGATAAAGTGAACGTACAAAGACATTAAAAATAATAAAATATAAAATGACCTAAAATGAGATTAGAAATTATCATAACATGGTAGATGTAGATAATAGTATTGAATGCCTTCATTTTGTATCACTAGAAGTGTCGTTTGCTCATTAACAAGAAAAAAGAAATATTTATCTGAGAATTTAGCTTAGCAAGACCATAAATAAGTCAAGTTGTTTTTTATTAAATAATTGTTCTTAAAAGATCTTAGACAATATCCTATCATCCCAACGTATGAATATGAAATTTAAATAAACAACTCAAGACATGACTAAACCCATACACATGATTCACAAACTCATTTTGACTTTAGTCAAATTAAATATGATAATTTTTCTTTAAATAGACAAAAAAAATAACACTAAAAAATTTATAGTCCATTATAACACTATTTCTATTTCTATTTTATCTTAAATTATGTGAAATTTTTCATATCAACTTAACCATTCTAAAACTAAAAAAAACACAATATAGAAATAAAAGAAAATAATCAACACAAAATAACCCAACATGATCAAAATACTAAAATCATCATTAAAAGTGTTTCTTGTAATGTATGTGGCTAGAGATTTATTGGTCCGGTTAATCGAAGTCTATAACTTAAATGTAATTAAGACGAGATACTGGGAACTGGATGTTGGAGACCGGACATTGTGTGCTCATATCTCCTGTAATCTATTAAGAGTGCAACGTGGGCTGATTCAGCCAAAGATGAGTCTCGCTTAACCGTTAATTTGGCCATTGGATTTCAAGGTCAATGGGCTAATAAGCCAATAAGTTAAGTTGTGGTCCATTCGAATGTGTTCATGGTCAATGAGATAAACACTATAAATAACATTAATAATGATTTACTATTCACTTGTTACATTAATTGATATTCGACTTTAACTTAGTATTGACTTGAGTTTTGGAGAGTCATCTATAGATATTTTCGAAACATGAGGTTTGGAGGATTGATAGTGTAGAATTGTGAAGATAAGACATTTTTATAGATTACACTTGATCTTGTGAGAACACTCTTTATTCTACTCTTATGATTTTTTATTTTTCATACAAGATTTACACTTATTGGTATATAACATACCGAAACAAAATTCCTTTTTTAAGGAAGTGAAAACTGTACTGAATACAACGTTGCAGGGTTACATATGTTCTTGGCGAGTGAGACAAATAAGTAGGTTTCAAGAAATTTGGTTTGAGGCCACAATGTCTTTGTGATGATCTTATAAAGCCTGATCCACGTTTATATTAATTGATTGATGTTGAAGAAGCCACCAAGCAACATGCTTAGGTAACGTCCATGTCTTAAACCCACCATTATTCATCAATTTAATAATGTTCTGAATTGTGAATCACATGTTTTACATTCAAAATGTTAGGTCATTCGGATTTTATCTTGCCACATCAGACTAAATCTAAACACACCAGTCTCCATTCAAATCTCCAATAACAAGTTGACTTTACTGTCATAAATTACACTGCACTTGTTGTGTTGTAATTGATTACGTAAATCTGCAAACTTAAATATTAGATTATAACTCCTTATAAATCAATCCACTGCATGTCTATCTTCGTCACAAATTCTTTTTTCTTTTTCCTTTTCATAGTCAAACGGTTACATGTACTTGTATAATTATTGTGCTCAATTTCAGAAAAAATGTGTTAAAAAATCAACAAAATTCAGTGAAAGCTCGTAAAACAATCATTCACTGTGCTCAATGAAATCTTCTGTTCTACTATTACCTTTACTCTGTTCTGTACCCTATAATTTTTGTTTTTAAAATTAGACATTTAAACGAACACGATTAAGTAACCAATCCCTTACTATAAGAATTTATTTACGTTTATATCACTATACTATTCAAGTTAAATTTCTTAGTGTGAAAGAACATTAAAATAATACTATGAGTAGTATCTTGATTCATGGAAATTCATATCTTAGTCAAAAACTGCTTATCATTAGTTATAGAATTATAATTAATACGCTGAATACAACTTTTTCTACTTTATAATATAATAATTCAAACCATTATAAATTAACTCAATTAACTAGAATTACGGGACAATGACTATGAACTACGGATATTCCACCTTGAGGGTTTCTATTTATAGTCTCTCGTCAATTTAATGAATATACGACATGTTTAATATCTAGTTTATCCAAATGGTCACAACCTATTATTATTATTATTATTATTATTCTATTTCTAATACTTTAAATATATTATATGTCCGAGAGTTCATAGTCTTTTTGTGGCTTTATCACTACTTTATTGACTACGTGGCAAGTTGTCATGAAGTTTGAAGATTTTGATTCGGTCAATGCCTTTATTAATTTATCATATATTTCTAAAACATGTATCAACGTCTTTCACTTTCCTTTTCCCATCCATCAATTTCATTCACTTCTAGTATTTCTTCATCGTAGTCCACACAACCTCCATCAGGCCCAATCATAACTAAAAAATCTCTAGGGGTGCAAACAGCAAAAAGGGTAAAATCCCATGG